TCTTCCCTGTTGGAACTGATACATTCACATTTACTTACTGGTCCCATACTGTCCATAATATTAGTTTTTTCTAACATTATCTTTATTGCGATAAGAAATTCTGTACATTGCAATGGTGTGTTTTTAATGATGCAGACACCCTGTGTTCTAGAACTGTACTGTATAATGATATTTTTGATATATTGATACATTTATCGTTGTTTGTTATCTCTTTTAAGTCGCCGCATTGGTGAGACCTGGGAAAATTGGTATATTTAATCAAATAATTTAATCTGGTAAATAAAAGCTCAGGTATAACAAAACACAGGAGATAGTCTGTCTCTGGAGGTCAGGAGTTAGAGACCTCCATTAAAGCAATTCTTCAAACTCACATGCCTCTGAATAGTAAAAAGTGCTATTACCTTTCTAAAGCAAAGGCATCGGTCACTTCTGGTTAGTATTCACTCATTCAGAGCAGGTAACAAACCAGAAAATTGGGGAGGTGGGATGTGAGGGGGGCTCATATGCTCTGAACGCCTCAGGCATTCAGTAATGAAGCTCGGCATCTCTGGAAATAGTCCATTAATATTATATTGCTGATTTAATTCTGGAGCACACTTAAATCAGCTTAGCCTTTCATTTTCTTACACCAGTTATTTCACTTCAAATGGGCTGAAATCATTTTGGAACACAAAAGAACATATTCAATGGTAATTTTCTCCAAAATGTTATTACACCGTCAAAACTAAATAGCTTGTTTCCACCCCCCCCCCCCCTTACATTATGTCAGAGATGCAACACATGAAAAAAGTAGGTTAAGTAGGATGAATAGTATTTAATGCAAATAAAGGTATGCAATCGATTTCAGAAAACATTGAAATAATTTCAATAGGTGAAATATACCATTCCTTGACAAACTGCATTTGAAGATAGGCATTTGATACAGTTGACATCTACAAGCATTACTTACAGTACTGTATATAATGGATAAGTAATCATCCAGTATATGTTACTGCCTTGTTCTCACATTATTCAAAGTTTTCACTATTTCCTGGTAAGAACAGGGGAAAGGTTACAAGAGAGGAGGAAGCCTTTCCGCCAATCTAACTCATTTTGTAACTATTAGTTAATTGATCTGAGAATATCATCCTGCCAGTCCTTGAAAGAAGCTAGAGTATGGGCTTTGACAACCAGGTGTCACACCCTCTGCAGCCAGAGGGCGCTCCTAATCTGTCCTGTCCCTAGTTTCCTGTGCATTTCTGTCTCTCTCTCTGGGGCTATATATTTCCGGGTCTCTCATTCACCTTCACTCAGCATTGACGTTCGGATGTCCTGAGACCTGCCTAGCATCCAGGCCGCCCCATGTCCGCTGCCTGAGGGCATTGGTTTCTATATAACTCCTGAACTGCTGAGCCCGGGCTAATACCCTGTTCCGCCACTACGCATACAGTATGGGTCTTTTTCCGCTCTCCTACCTCCCCACGGTTCGTCCATTCCGAGATCCGTGACACCAGGCTGGGTACCCTGTTCCATGCTCAACATAGCCTTTTGTCTAAAGAAACTGCCTACTGTTTCCTCTGCTTTGTGCTTCACTGTTGAACAATTTGCACTGGAAAAAAGCCCCAGATCTTCTTCCAGAGGAAGCTGGCTGCTCCTTCCATGTTTTCCAGCTGCTCTCCCGCTCCGGGCCAGCACATGAGCAAAAGCTTTCCCAATAATAAACAGAGGTAGACATTAATAATTAATCGTGTCTTCTTCACTTAAAACTGTGTATCTCTGGAGTTAAGTGACAGTTCTTTTAAGTTAGCGCATTCCGCTATTTCCACCTGAGCTCCTCAAGCCCCAGAGGCGACAGAGTTGGCAACATCAGATTGAGTAACTGGACAACATTTGTGTTCAGAGAGAGATATACTGTACAGTACTCAGGATAGTAAAGGGTTAAGTAATTATAGTGATTTTAATTAGAAATTATAATGATTGAATTAGTTCTGCTGTGTGTGTGTGGACAAAGAGGATCGCAAACAGCATTTTTAGGATGCAGAAGAGAAGCAGTAATATGTTTCACAGGAATGAAACATAGAAGATTGTGTTGTATAAGCTGTGCAAACGGGAAAGATGGAACCTGTTTTTTTCTCAGCCCATTTTCTAATTTTGCTTACTCCTGGTGAGGGTCACAGACTGTTTGCTATATAAATAGAACCCTTTTGGGATGACTTCCAAAAATAAACTGAAAGTCCCACTTACCCAGATGCTAGGAACAGTAACCTTAGATATTTCTCTGTGCTGCTTAAACTGTACTGTAAGTCTCAGTAGGGGGTTAGAAGCATGCGTTTTCACAGAGCTAAAACTGTCCTGTTCTAAATCCTTCTTTTTTTCTCTAGCCTCCACTGAGCTGATAGAATTCAAGAAAAATATAATAAACATGCAAATACATAATCTTGTCTTATGTTAAATTAAATGACCTCACACAAATACTGTATATAACTTTGCATGAGGAAAAACATCATAGAGGAATCAGATGCATTGTAAATCTCGGAGTAATGTAAGTATAATACGTTTTGGGTTAACTTGCTTGATAAGGGGGCAGCCACCTGGCCATAGGATGAGGAGGTTCGCCCCCCCATTCAGAGAGAGGAGTTAACCAATGGGAGATATCTGGGCGCAACACCTCCTTCTCCACGCTCTGGCCCTCCTGTCTGCATGGAACAGGCTGAAGAGTAACTCATTCGTGAAGAGGACCTGATGCCACTGCTGAGGAGTCCATCGCAGCCTCTGTGTGGCCCGAGCCAGTCGGGTGTGACGTCTAGGAGGTGTGAGCAGAGGGCCTCTGACAGGCCGCCTTGCTCAAAGGCCAGCAGCATGGAGCCTCACTGTCCTGTCACTGATGTGGGCATTGTATCTGCCGGCAGTTTCGGCAGCAGTACAAGTGGCAGATCTAAAAATGATCTCTCAGATGGACCAGTCTGATGTGTTGGTCCTGCTCTGGTGTGGTCACTTGAGGGTGACCGGATCTTGGATGGTCATCTGTCCTGCCAGTCTGCTGAAACCTTCTCTGCAGTCTGGACACAGTGGAGCGACTCACTCCATAGTGTCTGGCAATGCTGGCACATGGCATGCCTGCCTGCAGCATGCCAATGGCCCTCTCCCTAGCTTCTGGTGACATTTGAGCCATTATGGAATGAACAGAAAACTGACTAAGTCTGGCCTTTTTCTTGCTGTGACCTAAGCTTTGAATTAAGGCCTTTTTAAAGGTGACCTGATCAGGCATTGTTCCATCTGTAGTCCAGGCGGGTAGCTGCGTCAGCATGCGTAGGCTGCAAAGGAACAAGTAATAGGTTTATTCCATGTTGAAAAAAAGAAGAAAGAGAACACAACGTTTCAGCCGTGGAGCCTTCTTCAGGTGAGAAGGCACCAGCCTTCTTCAGCCACCTGAAGAAGGCTCCACAGCCAAAACGTTGTGTTCTCTTTCTTCTTTTTTTCAGCATGGAATAAACCTATTACTTGTTCCATTGTTCCATCTGGACCTCATTGGGTAAAAGTGCACCTATCGAGCTTTCGTGTGATTGGCAAGTTGTAATGCCTCGCTGCAGAAGTTGTGTTGCTGGTCAGAGGGCTTAAAACAAATTGACAACTTTTTATGAAAGCACGTAAGCTTTATAAATGAGATAGTATGAAATGAGATAGTATTCTCATTTCAGAAAAAAATTGCGTTTCTTTTTTTCCATCAGTATATAACAAATGTCAGAATGTCTGATTATAATGATTTTGATTTAGAAAAGCTGGATGTAATTAATTCTTTGGCATTAACCCTCCTGAATTTCACAGTTATTAATTAATTGACAATTATTTCCTAAACATACTTGAGCAGTATGCAACCTATGATAAACCAAAGTGGACAATGTTAAATTGAATTAAAAAAAATTAAGTTTGTAAGTGAAAGCATCCATATCCTGTGATTCTGATTTTGTCAAACGGGATTTGAATTTTGAAAAAAAACTACAGTATCGACAAGGCCGTTTCTTATTGCTTTTAAATCTTTAAAAAATGTCCTTTTAAAATTAACATGGAATTTCTCAATTAAATTATGCCAGAAAACATTTGGAACCCACCGAAAGCTCATTTGGTGGCAGTAATTAATTCTATTCATTTTCTCCTTACTATCGCTTTTGCCACTTTCCTTTAAAACTTTTTGCAGTTGCATGTTCACCAAAAGAAAAAGCAAAGAAACACTTCTGAGAAAAATAAAAAAAAAACACGTTGTTTTGTCTCTCTTTGATGTAGCACATCCATTAGAAGAAGAAAAGGGTATAAACAAATAAAAAAGGCAATATAGTGCTCATGAATGTCAATGCTGACCTTTTAGCACGAAAACACTTTGATCTGAAGGAAGCTGTTAGCCAAAGCAAGATCCATGGGCATCAAGACAACACGAAGGATGAAATGTCACGTTTCATTCGTGCTTATGATCTTTCGATATCCCCGCTGTTCACCTGACTGGACAATCTCTCCTTCATTTACAGGATCAAAGCTTGGGTGGACAAGATGCAGGAGGAGCTTGTTACCTTAGCTGAAACCGCAAGTGGGGTAAAGCACCTTATCCAGGTGAGTTAAAACACTTCAATAAAGTCCATTAGGAGCCTTCGACTGAAACTCCTAATGGAATCCGTCGGGGGAACACAACTTCAAAGATTTGTCATTTGTTCCCTTTCCACTCGTTTTATAGGCCTTCAGATGTGAAACCAATGCAAACCCATCCTTTGTTCATAGTAGAATATACTGTTGCACGTCTTTGCCTGAAGGCTAAAATGCTATAATATGAATATCCTTCAGCATGAAAAGATGACTGAAGATTTGAAAAAAAATAGTTACTTTGGCATCAAAAAAGCTTTAGTATTAAATGTTCTCATAAAGAAACCCTTTGGCTACTAAATAATTGGTTATTTAGCATTTTATGTTTTTTTTCCCTATGTTTTGTGTATTTGTACATCAGTAAATATTACCCCATGGCTGGCCTCAGAAAAGATGATGTATCATAAAGTTAAATGCTCTGGTTGTGAACACTGCAAGGAGCTATCGATCTAAGAAAATGAGATCAACATATCTTGCTGATGCCTTTATCCAAGGCAACATGCATTTGCTTTTTACAAAAGCCAACGAACTTTAAAGAATCAACATAATACACATTATGATAATAAGTAAACAAAATACCGTACCTTTTTATCTGAGAAAAAGAGGCACTTTTTTGTAAAAGTTGTGGGACAGTGGAACAAGCACCCAAGCCTTCTGTTAGTAGCTGGTATCCAGGCCTCTTTCAGGAAGCAGCTACATGAGAGACTGGGTTCAAATAACTACTAACAACTCTACAAGTCTTTTTTTGTTGTTATTGTGCATGGACTGCACTCCCCATAAGTATGGTGTGGAGGTATTCCTGACCATGTGATCTTCAGGGCTCCTAGGATATAGTTTAATCATTATATTCTTTTAGTGGATCTCTCTATAGATCTCAGCCATCACTGGGTAACCAGCACATAAGCTGTGATTACTTATACACTGGAAAACAAATATAATTAGTAGTGCAAATCTGTATAATGACAAAGATGAGTTCAAAGATATTGTGCTCTATCCCGACAAATGCAACTAATTTGCAGAAACTGCAATTTATCATTGAACCACATATAAAAGATAACAATCCACCAACATTTAAAATCACAATAGCAAACAAAAGGAAAGGCTGAGATTGTCACTAGTGAGAAACATCCTGTAATTTACAATTAAACAGAGGCATTGGTCTGTACAAGTATTCCTTTGGAAAATCCAACCAACCCAAGATTTCTCAACAAATGCAATAAATGACAGGTCTATTCCAACAGCAAGTCATCTGAGAAAGGAGTGTTTACCACTGATTGCTCAACAAAACAAATTTAAAGAACCGATGTCTGACTTTGTCTGTTTAGTTACCAACTGATCACAGATCACAATATTTTGCATGTTTTGTTTGTTATATCATTATGAGGAAAGCCAAGTATGGGTTAACTGAAAGCAGATTCTATTTATCTGCACTCTGTAAATTAGTCCTTTTTGTCACAGGGCATTGTGAAATGTATACAGTAAATGCACCTGAAGTGGATTTAAAAATTTGACTGGATTTGTATTAGATAATACCAGTTACAAGATCAAAGCATACAATGGCATTCTTCAAGGCTTGTTACCAAGTTCTGTACTTTTGACATGTAATGTCCATGTACTGTAGTAGCTCTTGTGCGCATGTGGAAAATAATTTATTGAAAGCGGGCAACATTAAAAAACTTTGGGAAACGTGCTCCAAAAAAGAACATCTGAGATGTGCAATCAAACAGAAAGGTGGCACCCTGCCCACAAAACTGCATCTTGAATAATTTACAATATGATGGGCCACTTTATATTCTGCTGCAGAATACCATTCCAGGTACATTAATTTATACCCAGACTTTGTGGAAATGTGAAGTCAGAACATAGCCGAAAGTTGTACAAGGTTGAGAAACTCAGCTCTCAGTGATTGTAACTGAATTACAGTCCCTCTGACTACCATAAATTTAGGGTCTATAACACATGCTATATAATACAACTACTGTAAGGCCAATTAATAAAGGTAATAAGGTACCCTGTATATGCAGTATTGGCACAGCAGATGTACAGAACAGACCACACAATAAGCAAATGTTATTTTAAAACTTTTTTGCCCTAATCAAATAGAAAATGCCTTTCATATAAAATGTTTATAAACATCTTAGTGTATTTAGGATATGCAACCCAAAACAGCTTTTCAGTTTGGTTGTGGATGATGAATATAAATCTAAGTTGGACAGATACTATAATACCACACACAAGGAAAAGGCTATGGAATGTGTTTGGGTGTATTTTGTGATTTTCTTTCATCTCTTCACACAAATCATAACTATACTGTCAAGACATTACAGTATATACATCTTCCTGCAGATTGTTTTATTTTATTGCTGGATTTTTGTGATTCTGCTGTTGTGGTAAAAATGACTCTCAGGACAGAGAAATATGTAAAATCTTCAGTTTTATTTACAGCCGACAGTTAATGGCAGCTTAACTGGTTTTCACTCCATGAGCTTCATTTGGAGGGTGTACTACAGTATCCAGCAAATTACCTCCAAATTTGAAAGTTCATCATGACAGCTACAGTATACAAGGTTTATATGGCTTATATAAATTACTTGTTTGTCTTAAATTCTACTAATACCTTATTCATGATAGATAATGGGATGAAGCACCCACCTGGTGATTTTCCAGTGACCTCCATTCCCTGACTAAAGTTGTGATATCCAAGAACTCTTGCTTTTGCCCTGCCTACTGTATGTCACAGTACTCCTTCATTCTTTCTCTCACGAGTCATCAATAAGTTCAAGTTGACCCTCTGTCTACCCCACCTTCTGCACCACTTCACTATTGACAACATAACGACATGGTTTCACCAGCGGCTTTTGGTCAAACAACATGAAATGGCTTATAGGCTTATGGCAGTACCTGTTTATAGTCCTTGCTGTGCAATTGAATGCAAGTAAAACAATTTGTCACCTTTACTGATCCAGTTTTCTCCTGCATTTCCAATTGTACACATGTTGTTTTAGTAAAAGTCTTGGGCTATGTCATAATTGAAGACGACCAACGTTATACAATGCTTCACTAACACAGCATGGTGTTCAACTGAATACCTACGCGGTCTTGTTTTGGAAAGGTAACGAGTGATGGAAATCAGCCTCTCGTTAGCACTGATAATGCAGATCTCCGTTATGCTGCAGGGCAGTGCGATTCAGTAGAGGTGTCAGTGATGAGAAATGTTGGAAAACATTTGCTGCCTGTCTTAACCCTCTCAGACACCTTACATATTAAATTACTTATGCCTCATCTCCACTGCCACCACAACTGCGCTGAGGATAATAATTCATTGTATCTGTATAACTCTTTTAATCCCAAAGCACATTACACAAGGTAGGGAAAACACCACAGAAGTGCGGTCCTGTCTTGACTGACATGAGTGAGCCTATATGTTCCAACAGGCCCACTACATAGCAGATCATGCACAGTTAATTGAATTAAGGTGGAACTTTAAGTAGTCAAGATTGTCCAATTCAAGAGCCAGGACCCCATATTTAATAGCCTACTCTTTCAATAGTGCCATGGAACCTTTAATGACCATAGTACAGTAGTTAGGAGCTTGGCTTAGCTGTATCTCCTGCAGTACAGTATCCCTGCAAAGTATTCTTCCCTGACATTGGATTACTTGACCTTGGATGTCCCAAGTCAATCAAAAAATGCCAAGTGTGGCCACAGCTGGAAGTTTTTGACAAAGAAAGTGATAGTAGAGCTTTATTCAGAAGAAGACGCTCGATCAAAGTAACTGATATTAAACAGGGAAGGAAAGAATATTGCTATTGGTAATTTGTGCTAATGGTTAGCTTAAATCACCCTTTGATTTATGTCTATGTCTATAATTTAAGTTATTATAAATAACGGAGTGCAAGAAAGTTTTATACACACTAACTTTTAGAATAAAAAAGAGCAAACAAGTGACATGTTTTTCAATGTATATGTAACTAAATATCTAAATAAAATAAACATTTTAAGTTTTCTATAAATTTTTTTCTTCATGTTAAAAAACAGCACCTTCAAAACTAGGAATTAAGCACTGTTATTCTTACTGATTTCTGCATTAAATAGCTGAATTTGTTTTTTAAAACAAAAACAAATAGTGTTTGACCTCACAGGAAAAAAATCCTGGGGAGTCAAATTCCACTATTGGATTTAGCTATGTATTATAAAATATGATTTTTGTAAAATATCAATGCATATTATGTAGGATTGATATTAAGCTCTTAATTACTTTTATTGCTTTCATTACTCCAAAAGCCACATGGAACAAAACTTTAGGCGGGCAAAACTCAACCAGCCCAGAATGGAATTTAGCCAGGACACTGGGGTTCACACCTCTGCGTCTTTGACAAGCGCCTTAGGATATTTAATTCCAACTTGTCAGCACCTCGATTTAACATCAAAACACAGCGTCTCTACTGCACTGTGTCCCTGGCCACCATACAAGGCCACTGGATTGGACATTCTGGTAGAAAGGGATGAGCTGAAGGATTTGACAAATCCCCTTTCTTCTGATGACAACCTTAGCTAACTGTCTCTGTCAAGTTGATTTGTACCTGCGTTGCCATCAGAGAAAACAATTACTCCCAGATTTCAAAACCGTATTTTGCTGACATAACATATATGTACACTAAATAAGCAATGATAAAAAATAGCATGTCAGACACCGACACATTTAATCATGTGAAGATGACAGTCTTTCACGCTGACAATCCTACATTGTTAGCCAGCAGTTGAGGTTGTGGAATTTTCCATACTGGTAAAAGCTATTTACTATCATTAGTTTTATGAATTACTTTCACTGTATGCAAATAAGGAAAAAGAAGCATTTTAATGGAATTGCTTTCAATCACTTTAATATAACCACCCTCCCACCTAATCCTCTTTCAGTGCTTCAGTCAAATTCTGATTAACTAGACTAGACAATTAACACATTGGTGCAGTGGTTAGTATTGCTTTTTTGTAGTGTTGGGGCCTTGGGTTCAATTCCAGACCTGGACCGCTATCTGTGTGAAGCTTGTATGTTCCCCTGTAATCCAGTTTCCAGTTTCCTCCCTTAGTCCAAAGACATACTGGTAGGTTGGTTGGCTTCTGGGAAAACTGGCCCTGGTGTGAGTGTGTTCTATAGACCCAAACCACAGCTGGTTGCAAATGAATCACCTCTGCCTCTGTTGATTTCACTCACATCTAAAAAGGGTATGTAATTTAGGGTACTTAGGGTTAAAGGTTGACAAGACTAGACCATGTCATGAATGAAGAGGTGCGAAAAACACTCAAAGTCGCCCCAGTCACTGAGAAAATGAGGGAATCGCGCCTGCGATGGTATGGACACGTGCTCCGCAGCAATGACACATCAGTGGCAAAGACCGCCCTCGAATTGAATGTGGAAGCCCGCCGGCCCCATGGACGACCATTTACGCGCTGGCTGGACCGGCTGAAAGACAAAATGCGCCTCGCAAAAGTCACCTGCCCAGACACCGCAGACCGGTGCAAACAAGCAGACCCCACATAAGTGGGAAAATGCAAAGAAGAAGAAGAAGAAGACTTAGGGTTAAGGGTACTTTACGTAAGGATACTTAGCTTTTAATGTATGTAGTACATTTGTTTATATGCATTATTAAGTTGAAGAAAAGACAGAATGGGCAAATTCTTACATTTTTAACTCATATTAGATTTTTAATTTAATAATTACTTTTATTTTGTACTATTTAAACTGAACTCCATACTTATTTACCCTTCCTGTCGGTCATTCAGTCTTTGCACCTATCACCCGATTTATTTGGGCAGATTTTGAAATTTAGGCTACATTCTATTTGTGTATTTACAGATCAACACTGCATTATTAAAAACATGTAATGTAATGACCGCACCAGGTACTGCTTAATGGGTACTGAATCTTAAAATGGGGTGGGATGAATCATTGAATTACATTTATTTTTATTAAATTATTCTTGTCTTTCAGTATAATCTAACAAATGCTTTATGTCATGATGAACATGAAATGTCCCTGATCTAAATTATTAAAATAGCAAGGAATCAAAATGGTATTTCTGTTATATCCACCCCTCTTCTGAAACTTTATGGTACATACAGACAGTACAGTAGTCCTTAGTTCCCATCTCTTGTGAATTATGTTAATTTTCTTTTAGAATTAATTCTGTTATGGCACTGTAAAGCACTCATTCAAGTTCCACTTCTTTTAATTCTCACATACTGTATATCTGTAGACCCTAGGAATTGTAGCAAATCCTCTTTCTTAATGTGTTCTATTGTGATTTGACAATCTCTTCACAATCCACTGTGTACACCTGAGATGCAGGTGTATTCCTGCAGTATTCCTGCATTTACATGCTGTTCCCAGATTAAAGTCACACTCTGGGGAGTGAAAAAGGTTTCTTGTCACAGAATGGTTTTCCCTGTCCACTAAATAGAGGGGCAATAAAACATTTTGTTTTTGAAACAAGAAACTGCTTGAGTACCTTCCCGAGGCTAATGCTGTAACATGAATTTACCTTTTGTATCTTTTTTTATATCAAATAAAATGATAGGCACTGTACATTTAGTCAAGAATTGGAATTTAAGTGATCCAACACCATGGGTAACAGACATACCGTAAGTCTGAGTTCAGGTCTCCATGACAACTATCTACAAATAATCTATTAAAACATTGCTTGGTTTAGAGGTATTGGCTCAGGATATGGTTGGGATTAAAGTTTTTATCAACATCTAATTAATCGATAATAGAGTCTGATTATGATCAAATTTAAGTTCTTCTATGTTACTCCTAATCTAAAGTGTTAATCAGATCTCTAACACTAAAGGCCTGATAGATTCCAAACGTACCTTCATTTTGATGGAGACTTAACTGGTGACTTCTACACAGACATGGGCAAATACGGTATTTAACACTGAAAAAGACTTGGTCATTCTGGAGTTACACACACCAGTGGTGAATTTAGACATGGGATCCTGCAACAGAATTAGACATTGTTTGCTAAAGATAAGTAATTGTGTCCAGTCTCCTGGTATGTAAATTGTATTATAAGAGTTCTGAGAGACTTTACCGAGGGGCTTTTAGAGTAGCAACTTGACTACAAGAATAATCTTCAATCCCTTGTTTTTGAGTTTAGATTCATTGTTATCTTCACCATGAAACGATGAAATTAGAGAATACTTTAAAATATGAAGGTATATAAATTTAAAGTAAAAACTTTTTTCTTCTTCAAAGAAAAAGCTCTGGATTCGTTACAGTACACACTCTCCTGTAATTACAGTGATAAAATAAAGGTCCAGTAAATGAGGAAATGACCTTGATTCCCATAAGGTTGTCAGATGGAAAGGACACATTATTGTGTTTATACTTGAACAGAAAAAAAAATATAGTGTGGTATGTATACAGAATTCTAGAAATGTAATGTCTTTTTATAAACATGCCAATCACCGGTAATAGTAAACTTGTGAAACTTTTGGATTATAAAACTGGCGTCACTGTTTTCTCTCTAGATCTTTACGGATAAAAGAAAGCTCTACAGTGTGGAAACAAATAACGCCAGTCAGCTCGTGGAAAGTGCAGCCAGAAATATAGAGAAGCTTCTTCTCAACAGATCAAGGGCACTGGAGGTGAGTGCATTTGATTATCTTATATAATTTTGGTAAGTCTGCTTCTTTTGTGGGCATTTATACTGTATCTGTAGGATTTAAATTACAGGATTCTCCCCAGTAGGTGTCCAGGGGGTAGAGCTGGCTGTAAGCTTCAAGTAGAGCTGGTTAAAGACCCTCTTAATGTTACCATTTCAAGAGTAGATATCTCATTTCAGTGCAAGGAAAGACAATGTATGGGAAGGCTATTACCTGTATGTAGATTTACATTGATGTTGTGTTCTGATCAAAAAAGTGCTTTTGTTGGGATAGGGAGATGGAGATTCCACCTAGCCTTCTGGTTTTCTTTTGTAGCAACTTTTTTTTTGCTTTCCACGTCAATGGGACATAAGGTCATACATGCATGATTCCTGAATCATTTTGATTATTTCCTAAACATTTTCCTAATATGCTTATGGGTAAAGCAAGGAAAGTTACAAGACCCACAGCATATAACTTACAATGATCCTGCACATGAAGCATGCAAAGATGATTTAATGAATGATGAAATATGTCTTGCTGTTGCACTGGATTTATTTGGAACAATGTCTAACCAGTTTCATCCAGTACAAGACAGCTCACATCCTTTATATGTACTGTAAACATTCACTTGGTTTCAAAACAATCATACACTTTAAATAAATACAGTGCTCTACATTCATTCTTAACCTTCATAACTCCAGCTCACCGCAATGTGATTCTCTTGAAATTTGCCTAAAGGCTTTATATATACAGTATAGAATAATTTATATATACAGTAGGTATATATGATTGGATAGTGCTTTTCTGTACACTCCACTCAAAGCACTTTACAGGTAATGGGGACTTCCCTCCACCACCACCAATGTGCAGCCCCACCTGGATGATGCGAAGGGAGCCATAGTGTGCCAGAACGCTCCCCACACATCAGCTATCAGTGGGGAGGAGATCAGAGTAATGAAGCCAGTTCATTTATGGGGATTATTAGGAGGCCATGATTGGTAAGGGCCAATGGAAAATTTGGCCAGGACGCCGAGGTTACACCCCTACTCTTTTCAAGAAACACCCTGGGATTTTTAATGACCACAGAGAGTCAGGACCTACAGTAGGTTTTACGTCTCATCTGAAGGACAGCGCCTGTTTACAGTATAGTGTCCCCATCACTATACTGGGGCATTAGGACCCACATGGACCGCAGGGTGAGCGCCCCCTGTTGGCCCCACTAACACCTCTTCCTGCAGCAACCTTAGTTTTTCCCAGGAGGTCTCTCATCCAGGTACTGACCAGGCTCACACCAGCTCAGCTTGAGTGGGTTGCCAGTTGTGAGTTGCAGAGTGATATTGCCTGTACTGAAGCTGGTGTTAGGAATAACATATAGTGTTTGATTAAATATCTAATAATAACTGTACTTAACATTTTTATTTTTTAAGTCTTAATGCTCACAGATGTATTTATCTGTATATTTATAGTAATGTCACTGAATCAGACATACAGTAGTGGATTTTGGCACAATAGATCAGACAGTGTAAAGGATGCTCTAGATTAAACTGCCTGAAGCTATGAAACCTTCAGAAGCTTGTCAGATCTTAAAGAATAGTTGTTTGATCTTTTAAAATACATTTGTCACTTATTTTAATAAGCCATGTGCAAATTGTATTGTATGATTGGCTCAATTAATCTTATTGTGCATGTCAATGAAGATTCCCTGGCAGGGCATATACTTTATGTATTAATTATATGTCCCACAATGCCGTTGCACTGAAATTACAGGGCTCATAAGGATTAGAGGGAATACCTAACGAACTGCCAAACCATAATAAATTCTTTATTAAAAGATTAATAAATAAAATATTAAATAGGCCCCTTGAGATTTTTTTAATAAAATCATAAATCAGATCATTATTGGAAGTTGTAATCCTTGCAAAGGTGTGAGGCTTTTGTCAAAAGTCTTCAAGTCTTCATCCTCCCACAATTTCTGCTGTTCTGTTCCATTTGTACTCTTCAAATTGAAATTTAACTGAGCTGTGGTAGTACTTCCATAGAACAGACAAGCAGACACTACCTACAATTGAACTATAAGGACGTAAGAAAGGTATCAAACACTAGGAGGCCATTGGGTCAGTTTGGTAATAAGTGAACTGATCCAAGAATCCCATCCAGCTGTCTCTTGACAAAGCCAAGGGTGACAGCATTAATAACATGGCAGAGTTGCTTGTTCCAGGGTCCCACAACACATTATGTAATGAATTTGCTGCTGTTCTCAGTTTTTATTGGACTTCCACTTAGTTTAGATTTGTGTCTTCTGGTTTGTTTCACTCTTTATTCTGAAGAAGTTCACTGGGTTGACTTTGTAGATACCTTTGGATCATTTGAATACTTGCATCAGGGGCCTTCATAGTCATCTCTGTTCATAACTAAATCAGTTAAGCTCTTTTATCTCTTTAAAAGGCAATATTTTTTTATAAGCAGCCCTTTCAAGTGCATCCTGTATATTGTATTTATATTTTGTGCTGTGCTGCCCTCATGTAATATTAAGCACTTATAGAACACTTTTAAAATCTACATTACATGTCTTCAGCCAATTGCTTGTCTTGAATTGTATCTAAATATGTTTGCGTTTTACTTGCTTCCATAGTGTTTTTTAGTCATTATACTTTTTAGATCTGCAAACCTGACTCATTTATTAACTGTATCTTTTTTCTCTCTCTTGCATAGCAAAGTCTTCACTGATTTTAAATGTGCTGGTATTGAAGCTAAATAACACATTCTAATTATAACACAGACTCATACAGTAACAGTGCATGGGACATCCTGCAAGAAATTCAGCCAGCAAATGAATCCCCTCGTGTTTATTGAGTACAAAAGACTGAGTACAAAGTACTGCTCCCCTTCCTTGTTTTGATGTCAAGAGTTTATTTTAAGTTTTACAAATAGCAACACTTTTGTCTGTTTAATTCCACAGTAATTATTTTTGCAATTATCTCTGGTCAAACCCATAGAGAACATGTCGGAATGAGTTCACAGTTTTTCAGGAATAAATGATTTGGATGCCTCTAGCTTGGAGTATCTAAAGCAATACACTATGTCAGATTTTAATACTTTCAGTAGAAATTAACAAGCTATCTATGCAGCTGTTTTAGTATAACAGTCTATCAACTTGTCAGCTAAGTTGCCTCACACTGTCATTAACTCCATAGTACCAGACCACCCATGTGCACAGTGTGCTGCTGCTTAATGAAAGGATAATAGCTAGGAATCTTAACATATCAAGGAACGCTGCATATTAAACTGATCTGTCGCCTACTGGGTAAAGTATATAGAACTTGAATACAATTTAGTATGCCTTATGAGCTTTAAGGTATGGCATAGCAGATGTCATTCCTTGTGATAGCTGGTAGCTTCCGGGCATGACTACATGGTGCAGATGTGCAAGGTTCTCTTAAGGTACTTGGCACTTCACTCAGAATCCACACTCACTCTGAGTTCTGAAGAGAGTTCATACAGAAGATGTTGGGTTGGCATGAAGAGAGCCTGGTGAAATCAATGCCATCTGGTACTGTGTCTCTAAACCTTAGTGAATTCGAAAGAGCTCAACAACGTCACTTTAGAGTGTGAATGCTATTGCATCTTTTGTCACAAACGGATGCGGTATTTGTTGCATATAATAATTGTCAGTGAAAATGCTAGATTGTGCAAAAATGTGCTTTAAGAGAAAAAGAAGGCGTCTTTGTAAAATTGTAGTGTCCATCTCCTGCATAACAGTATTGAAACTCCAGAATGAAATATGAATGTTTTTCTGCAGAGAATTTTTATGTAGAATTTGTTAGGGCTGAACAACAAAGCGTCAAATCTGTAATTGCATTACCTACAGCTCTTGCATTTCCATCCTTTTTGTGTGAATATAACTTACTACAGTTGAAATATACTATAATCTAAACACATATAACATTCGTACCATATAGTAGATCTAAAAATCCAGCTGGCAACCTCGTGTTTCAGGATCGCGATCAAGAATATGTTGATATAAAATTACAAGGCAAAAATATCCCCATTGATTTAGGGCTGAGACTAACATATTTGCTTCAGGATCCAACAGAATCCAGCATCACTTCATATATACTGTATACACTCACACACATTAAATGCTGCAGTGTAAGCTTCACATCAATAGCTCACGGGGTACCTAAATAATGTTATTTACATTTGAAATATTCTTCAGATTGATTGTAGGGCTTATAGTATTTCGTGTTCGATTTTTCTGTGATATCACAGAAAGTCAGGTGCTTTTATTATGTATTTTGAGCTGAGATGAAATTGCTGGAATTAGATGTTTGGAAACCCCTGTAAGTGCCATACAAAAAGGCACAATTTCAGTTAATTCAAGAACACTGAATATAACCATCTCTGGCTGTGTAATTAAAGTTGCCTGGCTGCTGGATTGAAAGCTGCCTGTCTGTGAAACAGCTGTCCATAGAATGAGATTTGTTTTGCTTCAACAGTCCAAAGGCTAAACCACAGTAACAAGCTATATCCTGTAAGGAAGAGGATGGCCGTGCTGTCCCAATAACGTCACATCTATCTCCTCCATCTCTGTAGTTTTCAGTCTGAGAAAATCTAGGAAGAAATAATCCAGATCTGAAAAATGCCTGAACCTTTTAGAGCCAGTTTAGAGATGTTGTGGTGCCCATTATGCTAACTGCTTAATTGTTCCAGCCAAGTGGTGGTATCAGATGATGTAAGAAGGCATACAGTATGCATTATCATAAACATGTAGGTCAGCCTTACTACTCAGCAATACCTTAATGAAATCCTTGAACCAAAAGTTAATTCACTGCAAGCCAATTTGGAAGTATGGATTATCTGGCACATAGTCAAAATAGGACAATGCAAGACCACAGAGTTCTGTGACTACAGAGGCACAACTTCAGGAAAACAATGACTTTTTACAATTGAACATCTGACATACCAACTTGCCAACACCATCAACAGGAGACAACCAACCA